CCGTCATTGTTGTTTGGTGGGTCCGGGCTGGGGATTCGAACCCGCCACCTTAGGTGTATGTGGCTGGCGCCCTAGCCGGTTGAGCCACAGGCGCCGAGCCTAAGCTCAAGAGTTTGAGGATGCTATGGGCTTTGATGCCTTGGCACTCTACCAAGGGTGACATAGTAAGACTCTGTCTCAACAACACAACAAAACAACAAAAAATAAAAAAATAAAAAAAGATTTTTCTGAGCTACGGTATTAGGTTATAGAAAATAAACTGTAAAAATTTTAAAATAAAACAAAAATCTAATATTTAAAAATTATCATTTAAAACTTCACAAATCATTTCCTTGTATGCTACCTTATACATTTTTAAGAACTTTTATATGCTTTAGCATGTATATATAGTATTTTTTTTACCTATGCTTTAATCTGTTATCTTCTGTAACACTGTGAAGTAGATGAATTTTCAACAGTCCTCCAATAGAAACAAAGAACAAACTGATACAAATTAAAGTCCCATGATGGGTTACTGAGGATAAGAATTGAACTGACAGAGTATCAAAACCAGGGCCAGGCGGTTTGGCTCATACCTATGATCTTAGCACTGTGGTAGGCTGAGGTGGGTGGACTGCTTGAGCTCACATGTTCGCGACCCATCTGAGCAAGAACCAAACTAAGAAGATCAACTAGTAGGGCTTTGTGGCCAGCACCTGTAGCCCCAGCTACTCAGGAGGCTGAGGCAAGAGGATCGCTTAAGCTCAAGAGTTTGAGGGTGACAGAGTGAGACTCTGTCTTAAAAAAAAAAAAAAAATCAAAACCCCCAAATTAGCATTGGAATACCTGATACTTCCCTCAAAGATTTAAAGCAAAGGTTATACATACTTTTTACCTTTTTTTTCTTTTTTTGCCTGAGGCTGGGTTTGAACCTACCACCTCTGGAATATGGGGCTGGCAACCTACTCCTGAGCCACAGGTGCCGCGGGATAATTTTTACTTTTAACAATAAAATCTGTATAGCCAAATTTGTCTTTTTCAATAAATAATACACTAAACAACCTTTCTCAGATATTTCAAGGTGGCCACTCATAATGTTTTGATTAAAAGGTGTATGAAGATTCCCTAGTGGAATATATTTTAAATATTCCTTCTCAACAGCCAATGTAGTGGCACGAGAGCACAGCTGACATGTTGGACACACAAACATAAACATGGCTCTATATTCTAAATCATTTTTTAAAGTAGTGCTTTTCTTTCTTAATTTGAAAGTGCTTTTTAGCCCTACAGCAACCATTAAGTGATAAAAGGATAAAGAAAACCTTTTAATGTATATTAATGTGATTTAAAAAGTCACTATCACTTGCATTAATAAGCTATTTTGAGACATTCTTCTTAAAAGGCAACAATTTTAGAATACGGCATTTCCTTCCAAATAAAATTTAACCATAAAGAAATGTTTTAATGGTGAACGTGATTTAAGCCAGGCAATTCAATTTGGAGGCTTGGTATTCTCTATGTAGTTTCTACTGACATGTGGAATTTTAAAAAGATGATTTATAACAATTCTTTATCAGAACAGAGGGAGATTTTACATTTTCTATGAGCTGTTGATAATTGATGCATGCAGTAAAATACCATATGTGTTCTAAACTCTCCACCTTTTAGTTTAGTCCAATCAAGAGGTACATAGTTACTTAAAGGGTTTGGTTTGTATGAATATCAGAAATAGTTTAAATTAAAAGTAAAGAAGTCTCTGATCAAAGTTCATAACTGTAATAACTAACAGCTGGCTATACCTTGTAAGCCTCCCATTCCAAAGAGGTTTAGACCTGTATCTTTCACAGGCAAGTCTCCTGCAGTCTCATCAGCTGGACCAGACATGGCCTATCTATGGAGAAAAGCAAATCCAAATAAACCTTTTCCAAGTTACTACATTAACTATGCAATGGAATGAACCAACTAAAATGAATAAGGGACTTCTTTAATAGACATCTTATTGTCCACATGTGCTGCCTGAAGAAGATGAAAGCTTCTATTCTAAAAGTAATACTACATTCAATCATGGAGCTGGTGTTCCTTTCAACAGTGTATCTCCTACAGTTTGTTTAGGAAATGAAATAAGATTATCATTTAAGAAATAGTCCCTCTCCATCCCTTCCCATCCCCACTCTCCCGCCCCCCTGACTTCTAAAAATAAGCAGGTATTGTGGAAACAACTTAGGTCCAGGAACTTGATTCAAATGGTTGTTCTATCATTTACCAGCTGGTCAAGTCACCTCTCTGAGTTTCAAGTCCCTGAATTTTAAAAATGGAGAAAATAATACCTGTCTCATAGAGTTATACTAAGGTAAATGAGATGGTAACTTAGCACATGTGCCTGGGATGTCAAAACAACCTGAATATCAATGTTCTGCTTGATGCAGAAATGAGTGGGTAGTTCTAAGTTTTGTGAAAAAGGTTTCATGAACTCACCAACTGTGAAAAAGGTATGTTTTTGTTGTGTCCTGCCTATTTTATTGCCTAAGTTCCAGAGTTTAACTATCTCAACACACAAACTGTCCAGATGATTCTGTTATTTTCACAGTTTCTAGTCTATACAGAGATATGCCATGGTAACTTTACTTTGTGTGTGGATGGTCCCTACAATGTGTAATATGAAAAAAAAAGATTTCATATTTTCAGTTCAATCTATCTAGAAAGCCAAATGCAAACTGCCAATCAAGATACTCCAAGGCAGAAGTTTATAAACTCTTGGATGTTGGTCCCAGATTAGGAAGACTAAGACAGCGGCAAGCTTAAATTTTTCTTGTTCACCTGTGTATTTTTGGAGGCTGGTATAGACCTTGGTGCATTCACCGAACAGACACTCAGTAAATGGTTGTTGAATGAATGGAGTCTATGGGGCCTCAGGGTCTGTGAACATAGAAACGGTTTGCAAAATTTTGTATTATTATGTGCATATGCAGTATCTTTTAGGAAGAAGGTTTGTAACTTTTTTTTTTTTTTTTTTTTTGGAGACAGAGCCTCAAGCTGTCCCCCTTGGGTAGAGTGCCGTGGCATTACAGCTCACAGCAACCTCCAACTCCTGGGCTCAAGGGAGTCTCCTGCCTCCGCCTCCCAAGTAGCTGGGACCACAGGCGCCCACCACAACGCCCGGCTATTTTTTGGTTGCAGCCGTCATTGTTGTTTTTGGCGGGTCCGGGCTGGGGATTCGAACCCACCACCTTAGGTGTACGTGGCTGGCGCCTTAGCCGGTTGAGCTATAGGCGCCGAGCCAGAAGGTTTGTAACTTTTATTATAACTCACAAGAGGCGGAAAACCACTGCAATTTGCTATGACAGAAACCCCTAACAGACAAACGCCTGTGATATCATCTACTTCTTTTGGAAATACTACTATATAGAAGGTCAATTTTAAGACTCTTCCAACACAGGCCACATGTGAAAATGTTACTTTCCCAAGACAGAGTTAAGGATGCTTTTATAATAACAATGATGATGATGATGACGACAGTGTTAACATTTATCAAATGCTTACTGTGTGCCAGGTGCAGTTCTAAGTGCTTTGTCTATATGAATTAATTAAATGTCTCACAATATCCCGATGAGGTTGTCACTCAAGTGATGCCTAATTTACAATAGAGAAAGCCATGACGCCATTGCCTAAGGTCACACCTTTAGGATGTCTCTGTCTCTTGATACATTTGCTGGCATCTAGTGGGTACAAACAAAAGAGGATGCTGACCATCCTACAGGGCCCAGTACCCATAATGAACCGACTGGCCCACAATGTGAACAGTGTGGAAGTTGAGACACCCTGGACAAGGCTGCAGTACCTTCCCAACACCATCTCCTGCTCTCTTTGCTCGCTCATTCTGCTTCATCTCCACTGTTCCTTACCTTTCTCAGCTTCACCATATCCTTGTCTTGCTCAAGGCCTTTGCATTAGCTCATTCTGTGGAGCTCAGCTCAAATGTCATTTCCTCCGAGAGCTTTTCCCTGACCATCCTATGTTGCTCCTCCTGCCAATTTCTTCTGTTTCTTCCTTTTATAGCAACTGCTACTCTCTGAAATTAGCAGAAAAAATTACTGTTTGTCTCCACATAAACATCGTGAGACGGGTATTGATTTGTCTTGCTCACAGCTGGTCAAGAACAGTGCCTGGCACATGCGGGTATCAACCTTAACGTTTAGTGAATGAATAAATGAATGCCAGGAACTGAGACTAAAGTGGTAAACAAAGTCTCCACCTTTATGGAGCCAACAGATTACAGAATTAATCAGATGGTAAAAAAACAAGTAATTAAACGAACAATAGGCCAGCCAGGTTAAAAACCTACCAACCAACTTCTGATCCTAGGCAAATGAGGGAACTGTTTGTGACCTTCTATTTTTAGGATTTGGGTAGAGACGGCAATTAGTAGCATCAAATCTCATTTGCTAGGTGCATGGTTGGGATGTAAAATTTCAAATTGCTCCTGGTCGTAGGGCTGAAGGGCGGGCTGTGATTCAGGCCTGAGGATGAGGCAGTGTCCAGGGCTGGGCCGCTTTTTCTCACGCGAGCAGAACTCCGAAGCCTTCTCCAGGCCACAGAATAGACCCTAGGACTCTGGCCTTGGCTCGTGCTGCAGGGTGAGGGCCGGCCATCCCCCATTCACCCCCGGCCTCCCCGGAGTACTCACCCCGCCAGCCTCACTCGGTCGCTCGCTACCGTTGCTATAGCGCCGACGGCGCGCAGGGCGCCTGGCCGAGAGGAGCACGGGAAAAACACGGCAGGTCCCGTTGCCTCCTGGGAAATGTAGTTTTCCTTGGTCCCCCCGCTTGTCGACTCGCCGCGTAGCGGACTACGCTTGCCCAGAGGTCGAACCTGGGAAATTCTTTGCCTGAAACCCCGAGGCGCTTGCGGGCGTCGCCGCGATGCATTCTGGGAGTGGTAGTTCTCTGGGCTGCGGAGGCGAATGGCTCCCGGCGGGAGCGGGACGCTGAGGGAACTACATGTAGGAGGCGGGGTCCAGGGCGAAGACTTTACACTGCTCGTAGTGGCGAAGGCGGCTTTAGTGGCAGCATGAAGCGCACCCCGACCGCCGAGGAGCGAGAGCGCGAAGCCAAGGTATGTCGGGCTCCCGGAGGTCTGGGGTTCTGCGTGAGCTGGGAGCTGGGGCCGGGAACCGGAGGGGCCTGGTTGCATGGCGATCGGATGCACGGTATTAAGTCAAGGGTTGACAGGGCCTTGTCAGGCAGAGACATGAAGCTATGGGGGGCTGGGGGGATGTTATATATTCATGCTGTTGAGGATGCAGGCCAAGTCCTGTTGGAGTGGCTCAAAAATGAGAATCAAGACATCCGTTTTCTCGTCCTGCTTCTGCACCTATTCTTTGGTTAAATTTGTAGCCACCATCGTGCCTCAGTTTACCGGACTGTCAGATGACTGCGATCTTACCAGCTGTGCTTTCTCATTGGTAAAATTCTTGAAGGACTGAGATCGGCTTAGATGAAATTATCTGTGCAGTCGGCTGTGTTTATTTGGTGCAGTTGTCTCAATGGCCGGCTGATAGAGCCTGTGTTTTTCAGCACGGTGGATATGAATCTTTAACTATATTGCTGTGTTTTAAACCTTTGATGTTCAACTTCTGGTACTTGCCATTCCGTGAGATGACAATAACAGCGATAGCAATTTTTTTTTTGCTTTTGCTTTTTAGTATTTATTGTGTGTCAGGCACTGTGTTAGGTTCATAATATTTACATTATTTTATATTATTATCACAGTAGATTGCAAGATAGATATTTTACAGATGGAATAGCGATAGTCTTGTTTCACAGATGATGAATTGATGTTTACCTTTCCCTGGAAATTCAAGTCCTATTGATTTGCCAGAATATATTGGGCATCTGTCCATTTTTTCTTCCATCTCCACTACTTTGGACTAAGCTATGATACTTGTTCTATATCTTTTTAATGGACTGTTGCAGTAGCTTCCTTGTTTGGACTGTACTCACTCTACACCCTAACTTAACTCCTGTTCCACTTTCTCTCCCTTTTCCCATCAACCAGTCTCTTTTCCACACTGTAGAGTGTAATCTTTTCTAAGTGCACATCTCATTATGTTCCTTTCCTCACTCCTTTCTCTGCTAACCACCTGTTTAAAATCTTCCATGGCTTTGGTTGCTCTTAGGATATAGACAAAACTTCACTTGGCCTAAAAAGTCCTGCAAGTGCTCAGATACCTTGGATACAATGCCACTGAATGTGGCACTCTGCTCTCTGCCCATCAACTACTTTAGCTCTCTTAAAAGTCTCTCTTTTCTGTATTTCAGTTAGCCACAGGGCCTTTGCCCATGATAGGAATGCTGGCAATGAGGATCGTTGTTAAAGAAAATATACACAATTGTCGCTTTTCTAGAAAGTGAGTCTGTCTTAAGGCAATACACCTAAGGATTTAAAATATAAAACCTGTTCTATAGCAGCATGGCACAAGAGACCTGAAGTTTCCATGCTTGCGTCTACATGTGATATGGATAATATCCTATAAAAATGGCACAAAGAGGGAGACCCTTCTGCATCACTCTACAAGAAACAAATGTCACCCATTGGCATTGTGCATGATGCCCTTCTCACCTTTCAGGTTTGTTTTTAAAGTAATTCCTTTGTTGAGCATATATCCTAGTGCAATACCTGGGGATTATAACTTTGGCCAAGATCAGATCCCTTCTCTAAAGGAGTTCTTATTCTATTGAAATCACAGCAATTGCCTGTGAGGTAGTTATTAATGTCTTCCACATTTTAGAGTGGTGACTGGGGCTTGTAAACATGACTTGCCCAAGGCCACTTGGTTGATGGTGGAACTAGCTCTTAGGGATAGCTCTTCTGACTCCTATTTCAAGAATTTTTTCCATTTTATGAAACACTGAGTTGGTAGAGTAAGTTGTCTTTGTTTACTTTTAGAAATTTCTTTGCTCTATACTTAAAATTTTACTTAGGAAATGTTATTGTTTAGGACAAAGTTAGGCACTTGTTTTATATCTTAAATATAAAATGTCCATTACTCATGAATTATTTTCTCTTTCTAATCTTTATTGATGTACAAGTTATATACAGCCATTTGCCGTCCCTAGGATACTATTTGATAAGTTTTGACAGATGTATATACCTGCACAACTCCCACCACTGGCGTCGAGATCATTTCTATCCCTTCTAAAAGTTTCTTCTTGTTCATTTTTGGTCCGTCTTTCCCTCCACCTTGGCCCCCAAGCAGCCACTGGTATGGTTTCTGTCTCTATTAATGATTTTTTATTTTTCAGAATTTCACATAAATGGAAGCATACTGTGTATATTCTTGTGTCTTTTTTGTTTTTTCATTCAGCATAATGATTTCTGAGAATTATCTATGTCATGGCAGGTTACCAATACTCTGTTCCTTTTTACTGGGGAGTGGTATCCACTGTGTAGCTACACCACATATCGTCATCCAGTCACCTGTTCGTGAACATTAGAATTGTTTCTGGTTTGGAGATATTGTGAAAAAGCTTCTGTTTTCATTTCTGTTTCGAAATACGTAGGAAGGGAATTGCTGAGTTATTTGTGAGTTCTTTTTTTAACTTTACAAGAAAGTGTCAAACTTCCAAAGTGTTGTACCATTCGTATTAGTTTCTTAGGATATCTGCAACAAGTTACCACAAACTTGGTGGCTTAAAACACCAGAAATTTAGTCTCTCGCTGTTCTAGAGAGTTGATGTCTGAAATCAAAGGGTGATTCCTTCTGAAGGCTTTAGGGGAGAAGCTTTCTTTGCCTTTGCAGCTTCTGGAGGCTCTTGGTGTTCCTTGGCTTCTGGTAGAATAACTTCAACCTCTGCTCCCATCTTCACGTGGCCTTCTTTTCTATATTTCTGTATGTCCAGCCTACTTCTCCTTTCTCTTACTGGCATCCCAGTTAATGGATTTGGGTCCACCTTAATGGTTTTATCTTATGAGTCACAAGATGTACAACTTAGTTAATTCTGCAAGGACTCTTTTTCTGAATAAGGTCACATTCACAGGTACCAGAGTTTTGGACTTGGACACATTTTTTGGCAGGATGATATTCAGTCTCTCTGCACCATATGGAGAGTTCTACTTGGTATTCTTGCCAACACTTAGTATTATCAGTCTTTTAAATTTTACCCCTGCTAATGATTTGTATGGTATCTTATTGTGGTTTCAGTTTGCATTTCAGTGATGACTGATGAGGTTACATATCTCTTTTTTAAAGCTTTGTTGAGGTATAACTTACATATCAGACATACAATTCACCTGTTTTAAGTGTATAATTTAGTAGTTGGTAGTAGGTTTACCAGGATGTATAACCATCACCATAATTTTATTTGAGGACATTTCTGTCATTCCCCAGAGAAACCTTGTTCATCTGCAGTAACTTCCCAATTCCATCCTCATCCCCAGGCAACCATTAGTCTATTGTTTGTTTTCTAGATTTGCCTTTTCTGGACATTTTCATATAAATGGAATCATGGAATATGTGGTCTTTTATGTCTATCTTCTTTCATCCAGCATCATGTTTTCGAGATTCACTCATGTTGTAGTTCGAGTACTTTGTTCCTTTTTATTACGTGGTAGATAGAGTAGCCCAGAGTCTGGATATACCATATTTTGTTTATCTGTTCACCAGTTGATGGACATTTGAGTTGTTTCAAGTTTTTGGCTATTATGAGAAGTGTTAATATGAACATTTGCATCCTAGATTTGTATGGATCTTGGGCAGATACCTGGGAGCAGAATTGCTGATAACATGTTAAATCTATGTGACTGCACCATTTTATGTTCCAACCAGCACTTTGGAGATTTACGGTTTTGTCACATTCTTTTTATTGTCTGTCTTTTTGACTGCAGCCATCCAGCAGGTGTGAAGTGGTATCTTACTGTGGTTTTGATTTGCATTCCTCTGACAACCAATATTTATAAATAAAAATAAAAGATAATTTCAGAAAACAGATCATGCGAAATCTTATAGATAATAGAAAAAGAAGAAATACTTCAAAATCATTCTGCTTAATCTGGATACACCTGATATTAAAATTGGAAAAAATATATTATTATAAAGGGGAAATTACAAACATAATTCACTTTTAAATGAGGATGCAGTATCCTGTATCCTAAACAACATATTAACAAGTAAAAAGTAATGTTTAAGTGATGTACTTTAGTCAAAATCGAATCCAATTTATGTGAAAATTAGTCACTATTTTCTTTTTTTTTTTGTTCCTACCCTCACCCTCTCCCTCCTTCTCTATCTGCTCCCCCTTTCTCCCATACCCCACCATGTCATTAATTGTCATTAATTGTCCTCATATCAAAGTTGAATACATAGGATTCATATTTCTCCATTCCTGTGATGCTTCACTAAAGATAATGTGTTCCACCTCCATCCAGGTTAGTACAAATGCTGCAAAATCTCAATTTTTTAAAATAACTGAATAATATTCCACAGTATACATATACCACAGCTTGCCAATCCATTCCTGGTTGAAGGGCATTTAGACTGTTTCCACATTTTAGCGATTATAAATTGGGCTGCAATAACAGCCTATTTTTTTTTTTCATGAACCATTGCAGAGTAAGTGGGAGACATCAATCCTCTTTGCCCCTAAATAGTTCAGCATGGATTTCTTAAGAACATGGACATTCCCTGCATATAAACCCAGTCCATTGTCAGTTTCAGAAAAAGTTAACATTATGATTTAATCTGAAATCCATATTCAAATTTTGCTAAAGGTCCTAATAATCTCTTTTATAGCATTTTTTTTTCATGCATAAGCTTTACTCATAGGTGTTTGGTTTCTTCTCCTTTAATCT